AAATTTCGCGTGTCAGGTTAAAGTAGGTTTCCCCCTGAGTCATCGTTGCACGAATTGATAAACTTCACCCTCTCTCACACACGCACGCACACAACGCACTCACGCACACACATGCACTTTCTCTCTCACACTACCGTTTTACACATCACTCCTTTTCACCTTCTTTTGCTTTCTTCCCTCCCTCTCTCATCTCTCTCATCTCTCTCATCTCTAAATCTCAAATCTCTCTTTCTCACTCACGCTGCCTATCTCTGCGTATGTTTCTTTTTCTCTCTCTTGCCTGTCTCTTCTATATATCCTCTACTCTCATCTCTCAATCTTTCGCGCGCCTTCTCCCTTTCTCCTCGTCATCGTCTTTCTACTCTCTTAATTCGCCTCACTTGCTTTTCTTCCTCCCCTCTTTCTTCTCTCTCTCTACTCTCTCCTCTCTCTCTCTCTTTCTCTCTTTCTCTCTCTTCTCTCTCACTCTATGCTCTCTCTCTGTCTCTCTCTCTCTCTCTCTCTCTCTCTCTCTCTCTCTCTCTCTCTCTCTCGCGCGCGCGCGCGCTGTTTCTCTATCTTTTCTCTTCCCCCTCATATTCTCCCTCCATTTTGCACGCACGCTCTTACATTCTCTTTAAGTTCTCTCTCTCTCTCTCTATCTCTATCTCTCTCTTTTACATTTCTCTCTCTTTATTTCGCTTATTTCTTTCTCTTTCACCATCTATCTTTCATCCAGACACGAATACACACTCGCCTGTGCGCTTTCTCGCTGGCTCAAATTTTTCTCCCCCCCCCCTTCTCTCTCTCTGTGTCTCTTTTCCCCTCTATCCACCGTATCGCCGCCTGTCTCTGTCTACAACCTTATCCTTTCGTCCAAGCATGTATTTGACTTTGATTTACTTTGTTTGATATATCGGCGTAAGTGTGCGTGCACTGGATATCATGTGCGTCATAGACACTTGCTTATGCAAAAACTTATCCGCGAGTCGCATTGTTTTAATGATTACGGTATCGGCGTGCACGACTTAGCTGCACGTGATAGTAAGTTCCGATTGCCAGCTGGAAACGCCCAAGATGTTAAACGGGTCGAGCGATTCGGCACTTCGATAAAGATGCCGACCGGTACATTCCGGGGAGAGCATGATTTACCGTAGCCTATATATGAAGCCAACTATATATGTGCTATATATGCAGGCGCGCACGAATTGACGTGCTAGAATACGTAATTACAAAATCACGAAATGTGTAAGATGTGACCATAAGTAAGATAATAATATAATATAAATATATGAATACATATTTATTTATTTATTCATGCAATTAATTAACCACGAGTCTAGTTTAAGTTGTTAGATAAAAATCGAGTTTATTGGCAAATTAGTCATAATAAATAATATCTAGACTAAGGCTAGTAAACGTTGAATTTCCTATGAATTCGAGACAAGCTCCTCTGTTATTTTTTTTTGCTCCAGCTCAGACCGTATCGGCCTACTGTTTGGCGCAGGCATGTAGACGGCTCTGTCGAACGAGAGCTATACAGCTTTCTCACGATGTGCGCGCGTGCATTCCGCCATATTGCTCTTCTTCATATCTGCGGCGCATCCATTTGCCATGTGGCTTGGTCACACACGCCTTGCCATTCTCTAATGGCTATTAGAATTAATAAGCAATTCCTACTGGCATGAAATATTCATGCGGATATTTCACACCTTTAGATTACAGATGGCGTTGCCGACGTGAGAGATATACGCGCTTGCACACGCACATACATAAGCGCATATATATGCGCATATAAAATATATTTATTTTAAAATAGCTATATTTTAAAATAGATGGATCAACTCGATGAATATAGAATAGTGTGCTGTTAAATGCTGTTTAATTTACGTTATTTACGACAAGTCTATACTAGATTCTATAGGGGGAAGGGGTGCCCATTATCGGCAGCAGTCCAACAGGAACTATCCAATATAACAGGAAAAAGTGAAAACAAAGGAAAAATAGTCAATACACACAACAAACTGCAACACACGCGCGCACACATATACACACACAATGAATATATAATAGAGTAAACGTTGTAAATTACTGATAGTAAAACTAAACTTAGTTGATTTACTGTCATTTCCTCGAAGCAATGGTCTCTATATATATATATATCTATTCCTTCATCCCACGGACACACGCCTCCTACGTGGCGGGTCTTGACTGCTGAATCCAAAATATGATAAAGAGACCGTTGATTCGAGGGTAAAACTGCATATTGTCAAGCCGAAATATCGTCTATATACGTGCAAACCGTAACTCTATCTGGGTTTTTTTTTCATTGAAAGCAACATGACGGACTTCCGTGTAAAGAAACTGCAAAAAATGTTCCACACTTTCTTTGGTAAGTTTTGTACTATCAGAAACGATCGACCGACCATTTCTCGCAATCTCTCAATCTCTCTCTTGCCCTCGCTTTCTCTCTCTCTCTCTCTCTCTCACGCTCTCTCTCTCTCTCTCTCTCTCTCTCTCTCTCTCTCTCTCTCTCTCTCTCTCTACATTTTTTCTCCCTCTCTCGTTCGCCCCTCCTTATTTCTATTTCGCTCTCTACCTACCGTTCTTATGTTGTTACCCCTCCTTATTTCTATTTCGCTCTTTAACCCTACCGATTCTATATGTTTTCCTATCTCCACACGGTCGCTCCTTTTTCTATCTCGCTTTCTCTCTATCCTTTCCACTCCGGATATGAAACATTTTAAACATAATAAGCCATTGCCTATGCAATGTGATCCGAATGCTAGAATTACGCACATTGTTATTAATAAGTGCATAAACGACATCAAACGCGTTATTTGTTTGTCCATTTCACTACGTGTTACATAAAACAAGAATTTAAATCGGTTTTTAATAGTATTCAACTTTCAGTTTACAGTGCCGTAAATGTCATCAGAGGTAATGATGACGTAAATTTGTCCCCGAGTTTGGACGTGAATGGAAGCTATTGTCAGCGTTATGAAAAATTTTGTACCAAAACCATATAACCTTAAGTGTTTAGACCTAAAAACGGGTTTAAGGTCTTAACCCTTTAACGTCTAAACTAGTTTTAACGTCTAAAATAGGTTTTTAAGTCTAAAAACCCAGATTTTAGTCTTAATACTCTTTTTAGCATAAAACCTATTTTACCTTAATAACTGGGTTTTTAGATATTAAAACCAGTTTTAAGCCTAATAACCCGTTTATGGCTTAAAACTAGTTTTTAAAGCTTAAACTAGGTTTATAAGCTTAAAACCGAGTTTTTAGACCTTAAAACTAGTTTTAGACCTTATACCCCGTTTTAGATCTTTAAAATTCATTCCCCCAAAGCTATACCCCCGTTTATGTCTTAAACCAGCTTTAAGGCTTAAATATAATCTTATTTTTTCTATTTTAGACCCGAAAACGGTTTATACGTTATAAACCCCGATTTAACTCTTAATACTGTTTTAGGTCGTAAATTAGTTTAGACTTTAAAACCTGGCTTTTAAATCTTTAAAAACTAGGTGAAAGTTAATTCCAAGTTTAATCTTAAAAACCGGTTTATAAAAGAGCTTAAACCCAGGTTTTAAGACTTAACCAGTGTTTTCTGCTTCCCGATGCATTAGCTCCTGATTGGCTAGTTTGCTTATGTAGTTTCTGCGGAACTGGATACAGATTACTGGCGCGGAATATCGAACAAGTATGAGAGTAGGTGAACGAAGAGGGAAAGTGTGGAGAAGGGAGCAAGGAGAGGAGCGAAAGGAAGAGGGGAGAGGAGAAGCTTTGGGAGAAGATGACGGAGAAGTGGAAGAAACTGTGAGAGAAGAGAGGAGAGCAGAGAGGGGGGAGAAGAGAGGAAACGAAGACATTGTGGGAAAGAGCAGCGGAGAAATCTGAGTGATGAAGAGGAAGCGGGATGAGGGGAGAAAGGAAGCTTGCGAGAGGGGAGAGGAGATGGTGGAAAGAGAATGAGAGGGGAGAAGCTGTGGAGTAAGGAGAAGGGGAGGGAGGGGAAGAGGAGCATTAACAAGTAGCTCGAAGGCTGGAGGCTGATCTATACCAGCACGCATTGGGCCGGTGAGGAACAGCGGAGAGGGAAGCTTGTTGAGAAGATGAGGGGCGGAAGAAGCAGTGGAGAAGGAGGAAGGGAAACGGAAAGGTGGAATGAGAGGGGAGAGCTGCTGATAGAGAAGGGAAGGAAAAGAGAGGGAGGAAGAAGAAGGAGGGAAAGGCTGGGGAATAGAGGTGAGAGTGGTGCGGAGAAGGAGGAGGATAATCGTGGAAAGGAAAAGGGATAGAGGGGAAGTAGAAGAGAAAGGTGGTGACGAAGGTGTTGGGAGAGATGTGAGTAAGCGAGTGAAGGGAGAGGGAGGAGAGGGAGAACGCGAGCCTGGTGGAGCAGGGGAGAACGCAGAAGTGGCATGAGCTGGATGTAAAGGAGTGAGCGGAAGCTGGTGGAGAAGGAGGAGATGGAGAAGGAGAACTGGTGTAGAAGAGGAGGCAGAGCTGGAGAAGGCGAGGGGAAGAACTTGTGGAGAATCAGAAGGGAGAGGAGGAAAGGAAGATTGAGAGAGTAGGAGAAGGAGAAGCTGGTGGAAAGGAGGAAGGGAGAAGGAGAGCTGGGAGAAGGTGAGGGGTAGAAGTTCCCTTCGCCCCTCCTTCTCACACTTGCTACCCCTCCTCACACTTCCCGCCTCTTCCAGACTTCTCCCTTTCCTTTCCTTTCATCTCCACTTATTTCTTCTCCCTTCTCATCGCCACCAGTTTTACTCCTCTCCTTCTTCCCCAGTATCTTCTTTTCCGTTCTCCTTCTCAGCTGCTCCCTTCTCTCCTCCTCCCCTTCTCCTTCTTCCACAGCGTCTTCCCTCCTCCTACTCACCAGCTTCTCCTTCTCCCTCTTTTTCCCACAGACTTCTCCTCTCTTCCTTTCACAGCTTCCCTTCCCCTCCTCCTCCACCAGGCTCCCTTTCCCACCCTTCTCCTTCTCACCACTTCTCCCCCCTCTTCTCAACCACCCTTCTCCCTTTCCCTTTACTATCTTCTCTCACAGTTTCCCTTCCTCTTCTCCACCAGCTTTCCCCTCTCCTTTCTCCACACCTTTCCCTCTTCCCTATCCTCTGTCTCCCCAGCCTTCATCCCCCTCCTCCTTCTCACAGCTTCTCCCTCCTCCTTCTTCCACAGCTTCTCCCTTTCCCTCCGCTCCTTCCCATCAGTCTCCCTTCCCCCTCATTCTCCCTTTCCTCCTTCTCCACAGCTTTCTACCATCTTGTTTCTGTTTTCCCCCACGAAATGTATTGCGAGTTCTCGCCAAATACCAATTCAGCGTATTAAAGCTGGGAGCGATAAACCAAGTTTTACGCCATAAAACTATGCTATAAGACTTAATCGGTTTTAGAATTAAAACCTTGTTTTAGACTGGAAGCTAAAACTTCAGCTTCTTTTAAGCCATAAAACGGCATTAGCCTTAAATCCGAGTTTTAACCTTTAAACCCGATTTTTTAAGTCGTAAAACTTAGGTTTTATGCTTTTTGCGTACAAAATTTACAAATGTTACAATTCATGCCATCTACTTTCGGAGAACGAAAGGGTGATATTTTGACGTAGGCGTTGCCATAGGCAACTGTGCTAGGGTGGCCCGAATTTACTATATAATAATCACCTTGGTGGGAATATATAATAGGTTATCTATATAATAATTATTAATAATCTGTTATTATTAATTCTAGTTAATAGTCAATAGTGTTAACGGCTGGTAGGAGGGATTTACTCTCTAGATCCCGCGTCAGCTACGATCACAGCATAACAATATTTTCTTTCCATTCATCAAACGCCGTACGCAAAATAATGTTTCGTAATCTCTGGTGTACCAATCACCGTTGTTATAGTTGCGATTATAAACACGCTATTTTAGTAAATTTTGGTACGAGTTCGCGGAACCGCATCAGCCTTTATGTGCGTTCCATCAGCTAAATTAACCGTAAACCCTTTGGGTACTTTACGCGAGTGAACAGTGCCGTAAACCATCGAAAGTGTGTCCAGCATACCGCCAGATGTCATTATTTTATGAGAAAATATATAAAAAATTACTAACTCAAACAATAAAAATAAATAAAATAATTACCATACTACAACAGACAGGCGGGCCTTTTGACGCTTCTTTTGTATTTAGCTTCGCATTGTTTTCGTTATAAGCGAGTTCGTATCTTAGTTAGCGCCGAATTCGTGCACACGCACCACTCACTCACATGCACATGCACGCACCACTTGGTCGTGCACACCATACCAACTAAAAAATAAATAATTAATTACAATAAACAAGACAGCGACATCCTTCCCAAACTCGTCTTCTGAAGCTTTCTTTCTTTCATAGCTTGCAATTGTTTTCTTTTATAAGCGAGTTCGTAGTTAGCCGTGTACCGTGCACACTGCACGCACCCACAATGTGACATGCCCGCACCATGTTCTGTGCGCACACCACGCGTTAAGTGCACATGCACACGCACGCACTGTATCTGCACACGCCGCACCAACGTCACGCACACGTGTACGTACACACGACCGTACTCATCGTGTACGGGACAAACGCACCCGAACCGCACCACCACCGCACGCACGCACGCACGGCACAGCAGCCTACGCAACGCACGCACGCACGCAGCCGCGTACACGTGTCGCTGATCTTATCAGTGTTGACGCAATACTATAAACGAAATGATGTATATTCTAAGAAGCCCCTTAAAACCGAGCAGCTACGAATGGCCGTATGATTTCACTGGAATTCATCAACTTATGCGTAACCAGTGCTACGCTGCGTTGTGAATGCCACCTACGCAGCTTTGCGTACTGTAATTGTAGAAACTCTCGTTAGCATACACTTAGCAGTGTGATGATCTCGACAGTCTGGTCATGTTTAGGTTCTTAGGAGGGTTCCTTTCTGCTGACAGGTTCGTGTATAAGTACCGACATGATCAAATTACAGATACACGATAGTGACGAACGGAAAAAAGTAAAATAAATAATCCAAAGATTCAATTTACAAATCGTATGGATTTCAATTTTAAATCTCCCAATCAATCTTATATTGCCTTACGTTATGAACCGACTAATTAGTCCGCTATGCGTTCGACAGTAGCAATAAAGCATGTCGAGATCCGTGTGATTTGTATGAAACCTTATAATCTGCATTTACAAACGTAAACACCGATGTGCGTTTAAACATTGGAATTCGAACGCGCTGAGTAGTTATATGTAATCTGATGACTTATGTAGCAACGTGTTACGCCTATGAAGATACATATTTGGCGCAATGTAATGAGTATATGTTTGATCATGAATTATACTGATTTAGAATAATATGCCAAACACTATTGGATATTAAGACTTAACAAT